GTGGTGGTGAGGCGGAGCTATATAGTCTATGTGACCAATGTCATGACATTAAAATTCTACAATTTGTGACTAATTATTAATCTGAGCCAAGTGTAAAAATATTTTGTAATCTGTGCTATGATCATTTGAAAATAACGCGTGACTATGAACAAAATCTTGATTTGTGACCTGGACTGTAACTTGTGACTTGAGTTGTGACCTGAACTATAACTTGTGACCTGAGTTGTGACTTGTGAATTGGATTGTGACCTGAGTTGTGACCTGGGCTGTGACTTGTGATCTGAGTCGTCGAAATCGGAACGGTCGTCGGAACGGCCACGGGAATCGGAGCAGTCGTCGAAGCAGTCGCCGGAATAGTCGTCGGAACGGTCGCCGGAGCGGTGAGGGTGTATATATATGTGTGTGTGTGTGTGTGTGTATATATAGGTTAAAATATCTGATTTTTNATAAATATTTATATATATGTGTATGTATAGGTTAAGATATCTGATTTTTGAAATGTGAAAGTTGTTTTGTTATTTTTGAAATAGGATAAAGATAAAGTAGGAGAAATGAATTTTTCCCATAATATTTAGATAAACATTTTTTTCCCCCAAGTGGAAGTTGAAATAGAGGCAATTGTATTGCGTGTTTACCTATGCTTAAATTCTTGGACCATGCTATTTGTACACTGAGGTGTCAACCCCGGTGTACAAATAGCATTTTCTTAAATTCTTTTAGGCTTGTCAAGCATTATGAAGAGTAATGCTGTCGAGAAAATGGTTTTTATTTTTTATTTTTTACCCAGGCTAAACAATAAGCATTCTTTTCTTGTTTGAAAATAAGAAAATAGTAAATTATCTAATATGTTAGAATTAAGTTAAATTAATTATAGACTTTGATCACTTCCAAGTAAGTACTTAGTCTTTAGACATAGGTAATTCTGTTATTAGACTTTAATTATGTGATAACCGATAAATAACAATATAATTAAAAAGTAAACAGTGAACGAAAAGATAGAACCAGTAAAATTCTAAAATTTAAAAAATCAATAAAATAAAAGCAATGGGCAAAGAACAATTTCCACCAAAAAAAATTCAAGAGCATGTTTGGGCAAGTTCTGAAGCCGGCAACACGTGAACTTGTCCCCAAGAATAATGTTTCAATTCTCTTTTTAACTCCAATGTTTTATATTTTGGTAGCATTATGTATTATACATGTGTAACCTATATATGTTACTTTTTTTGTAATGTGCATGACACGTAGTCACACGTGTTACAAAATGTGTGCCATGTTTCTACAATCGTTACCTCCACCATCAACACTAAAGTTATCGTCACGATAGTGCGAACCAAACCATCGATTAAATAAAAAAAATTCTAGATCTGATGTACCCAACCTCCATCTCATCCATCACCACTAGATTTCATAGTTAAAGGCAAGTTATACATCTTTAGATCTAATGGAGTCGGAGGTATCAACTTCCCAAGTTTGCTAATTGTTTTGGGGTTAAGCATGTGGTGCCGTGGTGGCAGAATCGGCAGTGATTCTTACGAGGTTGTCCATTGTGTGCGTTGGTGATTCTACAGAGTCACGGCGCCGTTAGACATACTGTTGGAGTGTTTTTGTGTGCAGTGTGCCTGTATTGTGTATCACTCTTTGTTATTATATTGCGCGTGTGTCTGTATTGTTTTTAGGCTCTATATCAAAAAAAAAATGATAAGCAGTAGATATATATGGTAAAGTACCCGATAATATGGTAATTTTATAAAATAATACATTACAAAATTTATATAAGTCACACCTAATATATAAATTAATAAATTACTGATATATAGTGCTTACAATTGGATTACGTGGCCTTTCTAGGATATGATTCAATTATTGTTTATTTCTTCTTGAGGTTGTAGTACATTGAGAATAGAAATTAAATACAATGTAAAATAATTAAAAAATAAGAAATACTTTGATAAATTAATAAATTCTTGATTAATAGATAATATTAGCCTTGTTTGAAGACTCTTTTTTTTTAATATGCTCATTTTCGACCATATATTCATACAACAAAATTTTCTGCACGTAAACTCAAATTTTTTTTTTTTACTTTTTAATTTCAAATTCACCTAAAAATTGTTATTCAAAACATTATTTTTTCCAGATAATGCCATTTAATGTATAGAGGTTTAGCTGTAATTTCCCCTTACCATTGAACAAAACTATTTCAATAAAATAAAATAAAGAGGAAATTACCTAAAACCAGTTGTTTAGTTTGAACTTTCTAAAAATCAGGTTTAAACGTTTTTTAATAAAAAAATCAGGTTTTAATTTCATAATTAATATTAATAACACCCACCAAATTTCACACAATTCCCAAACCCTACACTCTCTCTTCCGTCTCTTCCCTTTCTCCCTCCTCTTCCCCTCGTCTCCACCCTAAGTCCACCGGCAGCAGACACAACAGCGTCGACTCTGCTGTGTCTCACAGCAGCGCCGCACAGCTGCGCGACGCTGCCGCCAATGTTTTGGGTGGGTGGATGAGGAAATTGGGTGGGTAAAATGACTGCCAGCAGCGTATTGGCTGTAATGACTGCCAGCAGTGTGTTGGCTGTAATGACTGCCAGCATCGCCTCAATATTTTTCTCGCAACAATGGATCTATGGGTGTGGGGTGGCAGCGTCGCGTCCGATCTGTTGTAGGCGGGTGTCTGGTTGTGGTAGTTACTACGACGACGGTGAGGTGGTTAGTGTCGCTTTGCTCTCTGTTGGTGATATAGGTTAGTTGAAAAATGATGGTTGTGGCGGTGGTTGATCGGCGGGTGTTGGTGGTGGAGGTGCCGACTTTTTGGGTTTTCTTTTTTTGTTTATGTTTGTGAGTTTCAGATTGGAGACGGTGTTGGTGGTGTGGCTGTAAGGTGGTGTTACTACTGGTTGTCGTGGTGTTTGGGTAGTGGTGATGTTGGTCGTTGTGGCTGTCGTGTAGGCGGTGGTAGTGGTCATGGCGACAGTGCAGAGTAGTGGTGGTGGTGGATTTAGCAATTTTGATTTTCTATGACTAAAAATTAATCAGTGACCTTAAAATTCGTCAATGTGTGACTAAAAATATAATCTGTGACCAACTATTTTGTTATCTGTGACTTAAAAATTATATAATCTGTGACGGTGAAAAAATCTGTGACCAACTAATTTGGAAATCTGTGACCGTGTGATCTAAAAATTTTGATTTGTGACCAACTAATTTTGAAATCTGTGACCTACAAAATTTTTGAACCGTGACCGGAGAACAGTCGCCGGAATGGTCGCTGGTCACCGGAGTAGTCGTCGTAGCAGAGGTGGAGGTAAGGTGAGGTGGGGGTGGTGTGGGTTAATTTTATTATATTATAATTAAATATTTAATTTAATATAATAAGTGTGAAATATAATTAATTAATTCATGAAAACCCTGATTTTTGCAATTCTAAATCTTGGGACTTAATTTTTTATTTTGGAATAGATAAAGCTTGAGTTGTGAATTTTTCCCTAAAATAAATGTATGGGAAGAATACATAAATCAGACATTTACTTTTACCCATTTCAAAAATACAAAAACATGTTTTAAATTTCAAAAATTAGGTTTCTTTAAATTTTTAATTAT